ATTGCCCGATTCAGCAGTACCCAAAAACTGTGAAGTTCTTGCCTTCCATTGGGTTCCTGTGCCACTAGGAATCAGGAAATTGCAGCAGCTGCACAGCTGGGAGAGAGTTTTAAAGGAATCTTTATTAAAAGGTGTAACCAACGAATTCCAAATTCATGCATTTCAGTCCTTTCTTTTCTTATTTTCTCCACTTAATCTTGAGATCACTAGAATAAAAAGCACCTCTAAAGCCGTAGATGTTGAATTGTGCTGTCTTGCTAGTAAGAGTGGGCAGGATTTTTCAGCTCCTACAAAGTTTTACCAGACAACGGAAGGTGTGTATGTGATAATTATAACTTGGTTCTTATAGTGCCTGAGAGTTTGCAGCTCAGGGCAGTAATCCCGATCTTATCGGTGTTTTGTAGTACAACAGTTTTCTTTATACTGGCATCTGTTTCACTTCCTAGGGCTCAGCCCCACCCACAAAAGGAATTTCTGCTGATTCTCTGATAATCCTGAAATCACCCCCTTTGTACATTTCCCATTAACTCAGTGTTTGCTGTTAAGCTAGTGGGATAGGGTAGAAAAGGGTTTTTCACAGCAACATTTAGCTTAGTGTGTAGATAGACTTCAAACATTATGGTGGTTGCCCAGTAACAAGTATCTATCTGGAAACACTAGGACTGAAATAGTAGTGATGGAGGAAGCACATCAAGTTTGAGGTACGTTGGCAAACCTAGGTGAGGCTCCAAGTGTGCTAATGCCTCCTCACTTTTTGTGAATCCTAAACTTCAACAGGTTCACCCAGAATAAATACACAATGAGATTTAAGTCCAATTTCATAGTCTCATAAACCTTACCAGACCTCAGCTGAGTCTCATTAAAATATTTGAATAACAAAGCTATATTAAAGCTTTGAGAGTTTTTCCATGAGGCAAGTCTCATGCCTGAGGTGCAGATATTTTGAGTTTTAGTGGTGAACCTTTACATCCTGGACCCTTTGAGTTGGACACAGGATTTTGGTTCTTGGGGAAATTAGACTCTGGCCACTATACAGAGAGTTGGAATATTAGTACTCAAGTTCTAAACAGCTCAATCATAGGAGTTTTTAGATGAATAATTTGGAGGTTTGGGGCTTCAAGAGGCTGGAATGAAAAACAAGTTGTTTGTAATTGTCAGTGACCTGTTCCAGTAACTTATTTTTGAGGAAAGGGTTAACTATGGCTTTTGTAGGTGGTAACTGAAACTGCTTTTGACATCTGAGCTCTGCTTTAATAAGATATTCCAGGTGGTTAGGAAGTAATCCTAAAATAGCCCATGCTCTAATTGCTTCTAAAGTCAGGCCTATCCTCTCTGGGGAAGAGCAGAACATTTTGATAGCAGATGAGCTTCAGAGGTGTGTTTGGGGATGTGGGCAAAGGGAATGGGGCAGGCAGCTTCTGGGGACAGCCTGCAGGCTGAAAGTTCTTTCTCAGGGCAGGAACTATTTACAGAATTCTGGCTTTCTTCTACTGGTACATGATGTCAGAGAGCTGAGCCAAGACATAGGGGGCAACTTAATTTTTTTCAGATGTCAGAAGTTTCAGGTGAATTCTTGTTTGTGATATCCCGGTTGGTAACTATGGAAATGATTATTTCTCAAACATCAAGTAAATTTCCTTGCTACAAAATGAGGGAGAAAACAGTAGCTTATTCCTTGATATTAATTTTAAATAGTACAGAAAGGAAGCAGAAAACATCTCCTGACCTATAAAACCCCCTTTTGATGCCTGGTGGAAGGGATATTGATTTCTCAAGCTCCTGCTGTTAATGGAGAGAAGGGTCTCCCAGCATAGAGTAATTATGTTTTCCGAGAAAGAGTGAAAGTTCGATATGCTGAAGTTTATGCAGAGAGCTATATCCTCCATGCAAGAAGCTTTTATATAATAAATAAATGATCCTACATATGTCAGTAATTGTGCAGCATTCTCATCTGTAATTGGGTAGCTATTTGTTTTCTTCCTTCTGTGTCTTGCACGTTTCATTTGAGCTCAAGTCACTAGCAGTGGAACACTGTGAAATTCTGATGGCTGTTGATGGCTTATGTGAAATCAGTTGATGGATCATGGTCTGTTTCTCAGTGAACTGGTTTCTGACCTCACAAAACTGGCATTGCAGTTGTCACTATTTGGTATCATTGTTGGTAGTCTTGGCAGGGAGGCCACAGAATGATAGGTCATGAAGGTAGTCCCTTCAGATCACAGTCAAGACATGTGGACAGTGGGAAGTTTGTCTGTTGTTGTCCATGCTGTGGACCTGTTCTATGGATACATTAACAATACTGGAGAATGAAGTCTACCTGGTACTCTAGACTAGCCAGAAATCCACTAACTCCAGTCTCCTTGTCCCTCACCTCTGCACTGGATTATACTCCGTTGCTACCCAGAAGCAGCCCTGATTGCATGTAAGGGAGAGTTGTAAGAATTTGATCTAGCTCATCATAAAAGAAGCATGCCTTGTGCCCTGAATCCCATGTACTTTTATTTCACCAGGTCTCATTATCTGGGAGCTTCAGTACCTTTGTCTCACTGCTGCTTGCTATGCCAAATGATGCCAATTTCATCCAGCCACTCAGTCACACGGTTAAACATTGCAATGACAGAGTTCAGCTGGCCTTTATCTTCTTTTCACTAAAAAACATAGAAGTAGTGATGCTTTCTCACCTTCTGAAGTGCTTTGAGATTTAGCGATTAAGGGGCACATAAGTACTACTTCTTTGTGTTTTGATCTCCTTGGTGATGTCTCTGATGAAAGAATTTAAACTTCATAATTCTAAAATTAATGAAAAGTATATTTTTCTTTAAAATAAAGAATGTGTTTTTAATGCTCCATGCAGTTTTCCCACAGTATGTTTTTCTTTTTTTTTTTTCTTCCTTCCTGGTTGTAAACTGTTCTCAGTGGAGAGTTGTTGGCTAATGTGTGCTATGTATAAAATATATTTGTGGTTTAATCTGCTTTTCACACTTCCTCTCTGCCTGGGGGAATTTATACATGTTCTCTTGCCCTCTCCCCTCCTGTATTTAAAAGAGAAAAATGAATACAGCAGGTATGGCCAAGTATTTAAAATGTGCCTATAGTGAATTTGGGTGCTTTGATTCTAATATACCCAACTTTAAATGGGGGTCTATTTTCAGAAGGTGGATGCTTAACACTGTCTGAAAAACAGATTCCCTTATGTTATGTCAGCTTGGGCACTCCAAATCACTAGTCACTTTTGAAGATCTTGGCATGTGTGTTTTATTCTCACTATTCATCCAGGTTTTTAGTTGCTCTTAGTTTTCTGGCTTCTTATCAGCAGGATGTTAGGAGCAGCTGGATGTTATCATAATTAACAAAAATATGTGTTTTTAATCTCTGTTAGCCAAGGACACCCAAATGAATCCTCCTGTGAACAAAACCTGTCTTCAGACCTCTCCCTAGAGAGGGAGGGGAATTGACCTGCTGGAATAAACAGCTGACATAACAGAAGTGGCAATAATCCCCAATTAAATATCTTTCAGCTGATGGGACTCACTGGATAATTGACTTTCCAGCAGGAATTACTGGCTCAAACTAAATCAGCGGGCATTAGAGCAGCCCACTGCTGTTTTTAAAGGGAAAATGTAGCTTTGCCTGTCTTTTACAAAGGTGAAGAGCACTTGGCATCACTACCAGATGACTCCAAGATTTCAGATGTTAGAGCAACTCTAATTAAAATGTATTTTTGTTCTGAAATCTCTTCACATATTCAGTGTCTTCCTATCAGATAAGGTGCAGTGCATTTGTAACCAGAATGGCAGGTACCACTTATAATTTACCAGAGCACTTGATTGGGTGGCTGTCTGTACCAGTGGCTACTGTTCTATGGTGTTTGTGGTTTGAAGATGGCTACACAATATGTTTTATCACCCTTCTGTTCCCACAACTGAGAAATAGCCAGATCTGCCTTTGCTATTTTTCAGTTCTGCTAACTATTTCTCTGTCGTGATTTGCTGAGCAAGATAGACCCAAGTGGTGTCCCTATAATGCCTAATGAGAAGTGCAAGCCTTAATCCAACAGAGTTGAGCTTTCTATCTCTGTGTAGGAGATCCGAGTACAACAGTTCCCTAAGCTTGCGCATACCATGATTGGTACAGAGAGGTCTGCGCAGGGTCTCAACCTTATTATCCCCTATTTCCCATCCCTTTGACCTATCCTTAGAGCTGCTTATGTCAGAACACTAGAGGAGGCCAGGCTGCATATTTTCCCATCCTGAAGTATGGTAGTGCTGATCAGATGGCTAACAGAAAGGATGAGGCTCAACATGATCAAGTTGACAAGAATGCTTGACACCTGCTGCTTTCAATGTTGGCTCTAGAGACCATAAAAAAATGCACCTGTGTAAGGATGGTCAGACAGTAAGAAGCTTCGTTCTTGAACTTGCTCCTTGTTTGGCTTTGAACAATGAAGTGAACCTGGCTACAGTGAATGAAGAGATCCCCCACTTCAAATGTTAGATCACTGATGTTTAACAGGTGGAATAATGTGCCCATTAGAGCTGGTCAGGAATTTTCCAGCAGCTTGGCTGGAGGGGACCAGGGGTACCCAGTTTCTGGCATGCAGTTAGGAAGTAAAATTGACAAGAGTCTTCCAGGCAGATAGCTTGCAAGCTGAAAAATTCTGCCTTGGGGCTCCCAAATGGGATTTCTCTGGAAGTTCTGTCCTGCAAAAAATTTGCATTTTTGACTTTTTTCATACAGTTAAGAATAAATTTTATTTTAAAAAACACGGACATTTTTTGTGGGAAGGGATTTCTATTTTCCAGCCAGCTTCTGTGGCCACATACTTGGAAGCTTAATTAAAATACGGTACAATTCTCTGCTTAAATACTTCTCTCCATCCCTATGCTCCCTACATCAGAAGTGACCTCCCCCGTATGTGTACTCCCTGTCTAGAATTGCCACCCATAGAGCAAGGGCACTCTCCCCATAGTCCAGTCATCCTCTTGTTTCTGTTCCCTTAGAATGGAAGTCTGACTTGGAGCGAAGAAGCTGACGGAGGCCGAGGAAGAGAAATCTCTCGAGATTTTGCCAAGGTAAGCCTGTCTGATCATTGGATTTCACTGTATGTGAAGCTGGGGTTGGGAGAGATAACTTTCAGCATGTTCCTCCCCGCTGTTTTGTTGAGGGATTGCTAATCCCAGACTGTTCTGTTGCAGCTTGTGGGAATGTGAAATAGGGACTGTGTACACTGAAATTCACTTAGCAACCTCTGTGTCTGGGGACCGGTTGGGTTAGGCCATGTTATTGCCTTTGATGGCTAAAAGGCAGCTTTCAGTAAAGCCTCGTAGTTGTCAGTTATGATATTTAACACTTTTGATCAGGATCCTTCTTCAGCTGGCAGTACAGGATTCAGCTTCCTGAAACTGATTAGCAATTTTGAGCTGTCAGCAGTTTGTGTCCTGTCAGACAAATAAACAATGTATTTAATTTAAACTAGCCCTTTTTGAAGGAGTGTAACTAATTGCTATGCAAATCCAGTGATGCATTTCCTTCCCAATAGCTCAGTGTGTGAGAAGAGGTAGGCAACAGAGGAAATGACTCAATAAACCCATTTTCTTGTGGAATAGACAGACTTTGAGTAGCTAACTCCATGTCTTGAGAGAAAGACAGACACGTTTATCTCATTGAGGCTTTGCTTTTCCATTGATATCCTTCCCTAAGAGAGCACCTATGGCCAGCAGAAGAAATGATTTCCACAACTACATGGACTTCATTTCTGTTCCACATGCAGGAGTTTTTGTTCCTTGTGAATATTTCTGCTAGCAGTACTGGCATTGTGTCTTTCAGCCAGTCACGGTATATCCCCCCAGTGTCCGCCAGAGGTGAAAATTGGATTCACTATGGAACAGTTGCATGATTCTCCTGCCTTCGCCTTTTCTGAAATATCAGAGGGTGATGCTAAGAAGTAGAATTTGTTTTCTGAATAAATCTTATATGAAACTTTTCAGAAATATGTAATCAGAAACACTGGATCTCGAAGGCATTTTGCCAAAATATGTCTTCAGAACATTGGTTCTAGGCTGATTGCCAAGGTGAGTGAGAGTACTTTCCATCTGATTTCAGAGGAGCATCTCCCACCAGGCATTACTTGTTAGCACGATTTGAAAGATCTATATCTTTTCTTTCACCTTTCCCTTCAAGGCATTTCAGGGATTGTCACATAAGTGGAAAACTCAAGGGAAGGAATAACAGGATCAGAAGTTGCACCTCCGTTGTGCCTTTAAGGTGTGAATTGGAGGAGCTAGTGTACTCTGAGGGCTGGTCTACACTATAGAGTTAGGTCATCTTAACTATATCGCTCAGAGCTATAACTTCATGCCCTGTGCCATGTAATTAAACTGACCTAAGCCCTGGTGTGGACACTGCGAGGTATCTTCCGTTGACCTACTGCCTCTTGTAGAAGTGGATTTACTACAGCAATGGAAGAACCCCTCCCGTTGCTGTCGTAAGTGTCTATGCTTCAGCGGCGCAGCTGCAGTGCAACCGCTTTACCTCTATAGCATTTCTAGTGTAGACATAACCTGAGTTTTACATTTCTTTTGGCTTTCCCATCTTTCCTTTCTGGTTTTCTGTTTGTTGCAGTAGTTTCTCTCTCTCCCCTTTGACCCAGGTTGGATCCTTGGAATCCTTTCTTTTCTACTCCTTCCTCCCAATAGCCCTGCATTATAGCAGCACTCCTCTGGCAGAGTTCAACCCTGCTTCCTCCCAAACCACAGTCTGCACCATGCCTGAACAATCCCCAGGAGATCAGTACAGAGTGTTCCCAATTCCGCCAAAGGGGCTCAGCTTGCTACACTTCAGCCTGGTCAGTGGAGGAGACCAGAACTCTACAACTGATTTGCCTCTACCTCTGTGGCAGCATGTTGTCCCACCATCACATGAGGCCCAGTATAATATATGGTGGTCTTACCCTCTCTGTCTGCCCTAGCATGGGTTATACCGTTATTTTTCTTAATTCCCCAGCTGTACGAACTGGATAGTGACCCTGAACGGAAGGAGTTCCTGGATGACCTCTTCATCTTTATGCAAAAGAGGGGTGAGTGAGCCATCTGCTTTATTTGGATAATATAAAATGGGACAGTGCCCTGGGAGCTGGCTCAAGAGAATGAAGCTGCCAGTTGAGCTTGCTGATCAGGTGGGAGAACAGTAGTATGACCTGAGATACTTGCTTTGAGAGTAAAGGGGCTGTGCAAAGAACTGTCCTGTCCTTGAATCCTGGATTATAAGGGCACGACCAGTTTCCCTACCCTTCCTTTCACTTGTCTAAAAAAAGCAGACTCTAAGATCCATTTTGGAACAATTGATTTCTGCTTCTTATCCTGCAACAAACCAATTTTTGAAACATTCACACAAATCTACACCCTGTCTCAGAATAAGCTGCTGTGTTGACACTGATCACCCACAAGAAGCCCCTGGTGTCTTATTTTCATGCTATACATCATGGAAGATGTGTGTGAACACCCACTCTGTTGGACAAGATCTGCATATAAAGTAGGTGTTCATGCTAATGCCTAGAATCTGCAATATGGGGGCTTGGAAAAGAGATACAAAGCACTCTTTTCCTGTTACCACACTGCATTTCTTAGACCTGGATTTCTATTTCATATCATTCTGTTCAGCTGAGCCCAGGAACACAGCTGAGAGGAAACTGTCACGCTCTTTTTGCTATCAACCACTTGAGGTTTTTCTCATGACAGAAGTAGGGGGGTGGAGTTGCTCCGCTAGAATATTTTATAGGTATCTTTCTAAGTATAGTTCTACCAGTTGAAGAGGAATGATTAATAAATGCCTACAGATACAAGAACATAAGAATGGCCATCCTGGGTCAGACTATCTACCATCTATCCCAGGGGTGGGCAAACTTTTTGGCCTGAGGGCCACATCAGGTTTCTGAAATTGTATGAAGGGCTGGTTAGGGGAGGCTGTGCCTCCCCAAATAGCCAGGCATGGCCTGGCTCCCACCCCCTTTTCAGTCCCCCCCAGCTTCTTGCCCCCTGATGGCCCTTTGGTGACCCCTGTCCCATCCACCCACCCACCCACTCCCCTGCTCTCTGTCCTCTGTCCGCCTCTGGTGACCCCGGCCCCATCCAATCTCCCCTCTCCTTCCTGACTGCCCCCCGAACACCCCGCCCCTAACTGCCCCCTGCTGCCCCATCCAACCCCTCCTCTTCTTCCTGACTGCCCCTGCTCCTATTCAACCCCCCTGTTCCCTGACCCCCATCCAACACCCCCACCCCCTCACTGCGCTGCCTGGAGCACCAGTGGCTGGCGGCGCAGCTGCACCAGAGCATGCAGCCGCGCCCATGGTCCCGCAGGCCGTAGGTTGCCCACCTCTGATCTATCCCAGTATCCTGTCTTCAGATAGTGGCTGGTGCCAGATGCTTCAGTGGGAATTACAGAACAGGGCATTATCAAGTGATCTGTCCTGTGTCATGCAGTCTCAGCTTCTGCAAGTCAGAGATTTAGAGACACCAAGAGCATGGGGTTGTGACCCTGACCATCTTGGCTAATAGCCCTTGATGGACCTATCGTCCCTAAACTTATCAGATTATTTTTTTGAAACCAGTTATACTTTTGGTCTCCACAACATCCTCTGGCAATGAGTTGCACAGGTTAACTGTGTGTTGTGTGAAGAAATACTTCCTTCTGTTTGTCTTAAACCTTCTGCCTATCAATTTAACAAACAAACCAGGGGTGTCAGTCATGTGAAGGGGTAAATAACACTTCCCTATTCTCCTCCACACCATTTTTGATTTTATAGACCTCTATCATGCTTCCCCTTAGTATCCTCTTCAAGAGGAACAGTCTGTCTTTTTAATCTCTCCTCATATGGAAGCTCTTCCATACCCCTAATCATTTTAGTTGCCCATCTTTGTACCTTTTTACAATTCAAATATCTTTTTTTTGAGATGGGGCAACCAGAACTGCACATTGTATTCAAGGTCTGGGTGTACCATGGATTTATATAGAGGCATTATAATATTTTCTCTTATCTATCATTTTCCTAATGGTTCTTAACATTCTGTTAGCTTTTTTGAATGTTGCTGCACATTGAGCAGATGCTTTCAGAGAACTATCCATAATGACTCCAAGATTCTTTTTCAGTGGTAACAGCTAATTTAGACCCAATTATTTTGCGTGTATAGTTGGGATTATGTTTTCCAGTGTGCATTTCTTTGCACTTATCAACATTGAATTTCATCTGCCATTTTGTTGCCCGGTCATATGGGGCAAACCATCACAAATCTGAGGCTGAAATGAATTTTCCTTTCAAATGTTTTTTCCCCCACAGAGGTTAGTAAAAAATTGGCAGGGTGACCCTCTTAATACCTCTTTTGCAGCACAGTTGAAATAACATTCCTTTGCTAGACAACTGTGGTCAATTTGTCTGTTATGTTTTAGGCAGATCTGTCATTGGAACAGAAAGATAGTGGCCTCTTTAGACATGCCGAAAGGACTATGGGCTGGCTGTGAAGAAGTTCTGTAGATGAAAAGTGCGACACCACATTCTGCTCCTTTCACTGTCTCAATCTGCTGGGTTCTAGGAACAGGCGTAGTGAGCATTTAACATGTAAGAGGGAAATACCTTGCCCTTTGCTTATTCCTGTCATAGTATAATGTTCTATAACTGACAGTGCATTAGACCTAGGAAACCATCTCACTTTCCTTAGGGCTCTTATAGAAATGGTCACTACCCAGCTTATTTCTCAGGAAATCTGGTAAGGAATTGTGGGAAACATCTGTCTTCTGAAGTTGAAGAGCAGCCAATTGCCCTTTAACTGCCTTGCACTGGAGTTTGGGCCTCACCTCCACTTGGTCTGATGTTTCACTATGGTATTTCTGGGGCACGTTCCTTTCTTGAAAATCTCAAAGGCTTGCTGAAACATGATGAGGATGGGGGAAAGGGTGGCCCCCATTGCAGTCAGATTTCCAGCTAATTGTGGGCACATCTGCTGCATGGTTTGTATCTCATTTGGCTTCCACAGCTTGGCTGTAACATGCCACACCCTTTCTGACACTGCTAGGGCTTCCACATCCAGCAGTGTGGGGATTTGCTCTTGTGGCATTTTAAAAGCTTGAGCCCTGTTTCACTGATTCTGGGTCCTCCATGGGCAAAGGTTTAAGAAGTCCTAATTAGTTTGTATTTATGACTGTTATCTTGAGCTGCATGTTTCAGTCTAAGTGAAGAAACAAGAATATAGTCCTAGAAGAGTGTGACTGGCAGCAATGAAAACCTCTTGTTACCTTGAGAGAAATCTGCTCACTACCTCATTGCCTCCTTCCAATTACTGTTTAATTATTAACCAGCAACATGTTCCCAGTGCAGAGGCTGAGCCAGTCACCAGCTGACTGTTGTAGGAGTATAGCTTTGAATCAGCTGTACATTGCCAGTTTTTTTCTTTTCTTGCAGCTCTTGTTTTCCAGAACGATATTTAAGAGGACATGTTAAGAGCGCTACCCATAGTGGGAGTTAAATTCTAGAGTGCTGTTTCCAATGTTTCTGATAACTCCTATGGCTGACATCCGTTTACTGCTGCTATGCAGAACAAGCTAGATTGCGAGTCATATGGCTGGAGTGGTATTTGCCTGGGAGCCATTGCTCCTGTGGCAGCTCCCTAAAAAGTCAGTTGAGAGACTCTGTGGAGTTCAGGTTCTCAGATTGGTGTCCTGCTGACAGTGAGTTGTCACCCTAGTATTTTCCTGTGATGCCTTCAGTACTGCTAACAGCAGCAGTAGGAGCAGTCACCTGTTGGTGCATATCTGGCAAACATGCACATATTTCTAAACATGCTAATGGACTCTGGCATGCTCCTAACATTTAGTCACTCACAGCAGAGTGAACACACAGATTATTATTAATACTTCTTTTTCCCCTCTGCGCTCCCACCTAACACAAATCAGTCTCCTTTCTCATTAAATATAAACACCTTGTTCAGAAAGAGTCCACCAGAAGGAGACTGACAAACTGAGGCTTTAATGCACCTGGGAGCTGAGAACAAACTGCTATGTTTCTGTCCCTGTCCGTCCGTGTGTGTCATTGTCCAGTTAATTTATACCTCAAATCCAAGTGGGAGTGAATGCATGTCTTTTTGTCAGCATCATTGGTATAATGATGGGTATTTTCCTGCCCTATTACAGAGACTCTGGATAATGCTGGCCCTTGTTTGGTGTTGGTGGCGGGGGGGATGACAGCAGACTGGTAACTAACGTTGATACTGGAGGCCTGATGTGAAAAACAAATAGCAGATTTCCCAGGAGCTACTGAAGAGCTCTGAGCATGAAAAGACTTGGCCCTTAGTGCCACTGCTTGAAATGTACCTAGAATGTGAAGCCATGAAATGGGCTTAATGCAGATCAAATGTGCGGGTCTCATCAGCCTCAGAGCACAGCAGGTTGTCACAGAATACTCCAGCTGCAAGTGATAAAATGGTCCTTCAGTTGCAGTAATGATGGAAGAGGGAAATGAGGGGAAAGCTGTAACTCTTCCTTTGTTGGGAGATTTTTTTGGGTATGTATTTAGGTGAATTGTACTCTCCATAGCTGTGACCCATGGGAGGGCTCCAGACAGTCCGGGTGACTGTTGTGCAGAACAAACTTTGAACTGGCTCAACAATGTGACCAGTCTACTGACTTGGGGGGCTTGTCCACATGAGACATTAGTGCATGGCAAGCCTGGGTATAAATCTACAGTGCACTAGCTTACTGCACAGTAGCATCCTGTATGGACACTGCTACAGCACACTAAAAATTCCATCGTGCTCTTGGATACATTTGTGTTTCGAAGTGTCCATGTGGGACATTACTGTGTAGCAAGCATGCACTGTAAAGTCAGGCACTGACCTGCCGTGCATGAATGTCCCATACAGACAAGCCCTTATCTTTACCTTGCTTTAAGTTGCTGCACCACCCTCGCACTCTCCCCTTCTAGACTGCATCTTCCTCCTCCCTTCACTGTGGGAGGGTGAAAGGTTGGGAAGGGCATGACTTCCAGCTCTGCTGCAAAAGGAGAGAATTTTAGGGATGTGAATGTTCATATACAACTAAGTATGGCACTGAGCAAGCCTTCTCACATAGTTTTGCTAGTGCATCTCAGTCCTTAGCAGAGAATGATAATCCTAGCAAATTGTGTAGAAGTATTGTGGCATGGATAAACATCCACAAAGCAGTCGGTTTTAGACCTAACCCCTCTGAAACACACTTGCAACTTAAAATGAATCCAAAAAACAGCTCTCCAGAGAACTGCAAACACCTACAATTCCTCCTCTTTTACTTTAGAGGGGAGGAGATGGAGGCGTAGAAAAGGCTGGCAAAAGAAACGTGTGTGTAGTGTAGTTATAGCTGAGTCAGTCCCAGGATACGAGAGACACAAGGTGGGTGAGGTAATATCTTTCATTGGACTAAATTCTGTTAGTGAGAGAAGCACACTTCTGAGACGCACAGAGCTCTTCTTCGGGTCCTGAAGAAGAGCTCTGTGTGGCTCAGAAGCTTCTCTCTCCCCCACGAACAGAAATTGGTCCAGTAAAAGAAATAGTTATTTCTGTTTCAGAGGAACAGCCGTGTTAGTCTGTATTCGCAAAAAGAAAAGGAGTACTTGTGGCACCTTAGAGACTAACCAATTTATTTGAGCATGAGCTTTCGTGAGCTACAGCTCACTTCCACAGTTATTTCTATGGGCCTTTGTTCTGAACTTCATAGAATCATACAATATCAGGGTTGGAAGGGAGCTCAGGAGGTCATCTAGTCTAACCCCCTGCTCAAGCAGGACCAATCCCCAATTTTTGCCTTAAATGGCCCCCTCAAGGATTGAGCTCTCAACGCTGGATCCCTAAATGGCCCCCTCAAGGATTGAGCTCTCAACGCTGGATTTAGCAGGCCAATGCTCAAACTACTGAGCTATCCCTCCCCCCATTTAGTCATTTCCTGACTGCTCTAGTATGAAATCTTTAGCATCTTCAGGGTCCACTTTCACTGCATGATTGATCTCATTATGCTTTCCTCTTGGATCTGTTGGAATTTTGTTTCACTGACCAATGAAATATACTCGGATAGCACTCTGAAGTATATTTTACCTTTTTCAGAACCCTCTTAGTGCATGCCTTACACTGGATGTGTCCACATTTAGTGTAAGTAAGTGCTAAGGAACCCACCCCAGTTGGTCATACTGATGCAGTCACAGACTTTGCATTAGGTACACAGTGATGGTCTTCCTCATGACACTCCTCTCCCTTCTCCCTCCCCCCATTTCCCTGTTTTCACCATGTTGCCATCAAAACTTCTTGGAGGTGTTCTAGTATAATGGAACTATCCTATTGGGATTATCACTAGTGTTTTGCAAGAAGTTACTCTGGAGAAATGACTGTGTGTGGAAGAGAACTAACCGAATATTGTGGTGTAACACTCTGAGGCAGCCTAAGAGATTGCATGTATTAGCACATCAGAAAAGGCTCCTTTTGAAGGAAGGCTGTTTTGTTCATTTAAAGTACTGCCTTTGTGAAGATCTCATAAACCCTCTCTGATGGTACAACTCTGCTAATTCTGGTCAAGGTTACTGTGTGACCTTGGTTTTCCCAGGTGGGTTGGCCATTCTGTTTTTGATGTGCATATACATAGGAGGGACTTTGTAAGCCTGAGCATGTGGTTTTAATTTTTTCCTTTTAGATATGGAAATACTCATGGCAAATACATGGTATTGACAAAAGCATTTACTGATGGATTCTTTTATCTATAGGCAACACTGGTGCTTATCATACACATGTCCAAGATATACCCCCTCCATCTGCCCTTTCTCAACTTCACAAGTTTCTTTTGCTCCTGCAAGGATATCTTGTTTTCTGAATAAAATAATGTAATTCTCTAAATTGGATGTAAACTCTCCACTCCTGTTGTCACTGTTAAGCAGACAGAGTAAGTGATTTTAGAGCAGATGTGTCTCCTAGCACGAAAGCAGAAGTTCCACGGTGAAGAAATCTCCCTCAGCATGCTACTCCAGAAAGAAGAGTTCTCAGTCATTGCTCTCAGGAGAGATGATTCGTGAGCAAATAAAGAATAAAACGTGGATGTTCTGAATTAAATTAACAAACCTCTGTTCTATGCTACCTGGACCCTGAACTGTATAAAGCTCACTTCAGGATTTATTTCAATCACTGAATCGGCTACTTATTTTGGCCAGTTGATCTGATTTAAGGAGCTGAGAACTGTGGTAACTGGGTTCCTGTGTAAAATGATGGATAGGTGTGAAGCAGGGCACATCATTTACTCACTATTCTCCCCATTATTGATTACTTGTTTGTGTGTTAGTTGTATATGCTTTTATTTATATTGCATTCTTTTGTAGGGGCCTTGAGCACTTAAGGAGGGAAGGATCACACTGTATATGATATTAATAGATTCATAGGGCTAGAAGGGACCACAAGGGTCATCTTGTTTAACCCCCAAATCACACAAGGAGTTTGTAGCAAAGCAGGAAATTGAACCTGTATCTCTCTTGTCCCAAGCTAACAGCCTAGCCACTGCACCATCATTCATCTCATTAAGGTTGCAGAGTTAGTCACTCAAGTTAGGAAATTCCAGAATGAAAATCACCCATTCAACCTTAATTCGGCCCCCTTGTGCATGTGTGTTCATATACGTCTGTGCTCGGCATCACAGTGGATGCTGGTAACGGGGTGGAGCACTTGCTGGGAAAGTCCTGCTCGTTGGAGAATTTAGCTGCCAAACTCGGACAAGTCTTTCCCGAGCAGAGATTTTTCAGAGACTTCTAACTTGGCCAAATTTTCCTGCGGCTGATAAAAGGCACAGCTGTGACATGAGAGACCCCCTGCCAAATATTAAGTCCCCTGCTCCAAAGCAGGGAAGCATTAACTTTTAATACTGGCAAAATGTGTTTTTTCCCTAATCTTGGAACAGCCTGAAACTGTTTAAAAAAAAAAAAGCTTGAGGCAAACACCCAGCATGGATAATGTCAAAGGTTAAAAAGTTATAAGCAAGTGAAAACGGGGTCTTACAATGGGAATTTTTGAGTATTCGCATAGTAGTGCTACCAGTTCTACCTATAATTAATAGGAAATTAGAGTGGAAGTTTTTTTGTTGCTGGACTCTAGAAGACTTTGTTTTTAAACTTATCCAGAGTTAAGGTAACTAATTGTTAAAACTTTAAATATTTACTGATTGGAGTTGGGATGAATAACTCCTCTTAATTGGTGTGAATGTGTTTCCACATAGTTTGCTTTGTATCCCTCCCTATAATATGCCAATCTGACATCAGTCTTCTCCTAAAATAACCAATTTAAGGACTCCCTATTAAGCTTCTCCCTGGAATGCAGAATTGAGGATGTAAAGTTCACTCCTACCTAGCCACGAGGATTTAGATTTTGTGAAGAGTTAATCTATTGTCGCATAACCTGGATATTAGTGTTCCAAATCCTTTCCTCCCAAAGATCTTCTTTATATTGGAACTTCCTAGTCATTGCGGATGCTCTGGGCTCTTTGGCTTCCTAGCTGACTTGGCAGCCTGTTTCTAATCAAGTGATTAATGACTCTTGCTGTGCTCAAGCAACTCAAAACCTAGCCATTTGGATACTGTGGTGATGAGGGCCTTACAGGTAGGTAGGCAAATACAAAAAGGCAGAACTGTTTGGCATGCATTCCAGACCCTCTGCCACAATCCGTAAGCAGCTGGCCTTATGTTGCCCAGCTAAGCCTAGTTGTGGCTGTATGTCTGTTCCGCTTCCTTCATTCCTTTGCATTTCTTTCAAACGTATTCATGTGTCCTCTTTGACTGGTGAAGAAGAGTTCATCTCCCACCTCTGCTTGTTAGTCCAAAGGTCGTAGGGGTGGAAACCCCACCAGTTGCAAAGCTGTTCAACATCTGGCAGAGAAATGGGAAATAGCAAATCTATTGGACCCAGCTGTGTCAGTAGCAGTTGAACAGTGGGACTTTATTTGATTTTAATATGAGGAGCAGTAAATTTCCATGGGACCTCGACTGGGATGGGAGTGCACTTGACACTGGGATGTAGTAGCCCCCTTCCCCTGAAACTTAAAATGGTTGGAGGCTTGGTCAGTATACTAGGGTTGTGGTCACTGGGAAAGTGTGTGCACATGCCAGTTAGGCTGCCTCCGGCTCAGCAGCTGAAATCTGATAAGGGGCCGCTAACTGTCAGTCTCACTTATTGAGGAGGGAAGCAGAGACCGATGGCATTTCTAGGGGTCTAGATAAGAACTGGGCCTCCTGTCAAATAGAACATGATTAATTACCCTCAGTCCCAGCTCCTGCTTTGATAGGAGTTTCTGATGATCCGCAGGCTTGCAGATCAGGTGGTGACATTCCCATTGGGAGGTGAGAATGCCCGCTGTGGAAATGCAGCAAACCTGGGGAGAGATTAGATCAGTGATGGCGCTGGCAGAGAGAGATCCTTTATTCTCATTTCCCCATAGCTGCTTTTCTCATTTTAACGTCGGCAGCTTACGCAATAGAGGTGACAACGGAACCTTTCATGTGGAGGAACTGGGAACAGTTTGAATGACTGCTGCATGTATGGTCCCTGGTTCAGCATAACCAGCCCTGCTTAAAACCCTGGATTTTGTGCTTGGAGATGATTCCAAGTAAAACAGGAGCCTGGAATGGGGACTTCTAATGTTAATTGCATATTGCTGATTAATTTAATCAATGGACTCCATTTAGAGAGAAGAGGAATAAAGAGGGATAGTGCACATGTAAAAAGTACAACCGCATTCGCCCTCCCTCCCCAACTAATTTAGTTTTCATTTCATTTCAAGATTCAGTTCCTGCTTTCCTCATTTTTTTAAAATCTCCACAGGCTTGCTCCAGCCTGCCTCACAGGCCTCACCCTCTTCCTTCTCCATTCCCTCTGATCTCTGGTGCTTCTGTCCTACCCCTTCACGCACTGTTGGTCTGCTCCCCCGCCGATTCTGAAGTCTCGAATAGCATCTCTTCCCTCATCTTGTATCTGTAGGCAAGTTATTGACAATGGTCTTGTGTTTACCTATTCATTTCTCTCTCTAACTCTATGAAGCATTTTGTTAAAGTTTGTATGAAAGACATTCTGAAAAATGTTATTGCATGGCGGCATCCTTATCTAGTGTGTGTCTCTCTAGAAAGGGAATCTTTAAAGAGGTATGAGGGAGAGATTTAAAGAGTACATCACTAGGAAGAGTGTGAAGAAATTGCCCAGGGAATCGCTGTGACAAAGGAAGGGTAATGACCTCTCTTTAATCAAACCAGGTTAGAACTCCCAAACCTGGCCGAGAAACGATCTCTCAAAGAAGTGTTGGCACAGGGTAAAGAGGAGAAGAAGGATAGGTCGCTGCTCTGGTTGAGTCCCAGGCTAAAATCCCACAAAGACCAGCCATCCTGAGGCATGTGTAAGGGGCAGGAGGAGGGAATATTTTGTTCCAAAATGTAGGTCTTGAAACACGTGGATAAATTACATTATCCCCAGTTTACAGATGGGAAGATCGAGGCACAAATCAGTAAAGTGATTAGCCAAAGTCATACAGGAAAAAGGCAGGAGAGCAAAGAACCCAGGTCTTCTGACTCGCTCACCAGTGCTCTTTCCATGGGACCTTGTAGACTCCTGGCCTCCAGTTGTAAGAATACCTGTTAAAAGAAAGCTTATGCTCAAATAGATTTGTTAGTCTCTAAGGTGCCACAAGTACTCCTTTTCTTTTTGCGAATACAGACTAACACGGCTGCTACTCTGAAACCTGTTAAAAGAATACTTCCAAGGTTCTCTTCTTCCTCACTCCCCACACACCTCTCCAAAATTAGGAAAGAGCAAGCCAATTACTCAGCCCCATATGCTTCTCAAACAAGGGAGACATTCAAAACCATCAGAATAAAACCTTTAAGCTTCTGTGTATTTATTCAGTTACATTCTCTTGAAGGTAAAAGAAGGCTTTCAGAGAGGGGAATGGTATGGTTGGGAAGAAGGGGCTGCAAAGGTGGCTCGGTCATAACTACAGTCATGATTTTTTCAAGAAACCCCAACTGTAATTACAACTTCCTCCCCTTCACAAAATCCACCTGCCTACGGGCTGTTCGGTGGCTTCTCCTTTTTTCATATCCTCAAATTCAGGTGTCTTGCAGAGGATTTTGAAAGTGGGAACAACTTTGCCCCTCCCTATTTGTCCATCCATCTCCAGAGATACCTGACTCAGCCCCCAGCTTGCTTACTTCTCCCACCCACATTTTCATGCTTTCTACGAGCTTGCTCCAGGAGCGCCCTGGCTGGATTGATCTAGAAGAGCTATCTTATCCTGTAAATCCTGCCCACCTCTACAGTGATCCCTACAAGTAATGGCTAGGTTGTGGGGTAGTCAAGGAAAACTGATCTAACCTTTCTTTTAAAATATAATATATACAAAATATTGAGCCATTTTAAAATCTTGACTCCCATTGTCCTGCCCTTGATCCTTTGTCATATTAGAGGACAGAGACAATCTGCCTGGTTGTTTGTACAGCATTTAGCACAGCAGAGCCCCCATTTTCATTGGTGCCTCTGGTCACGACTGCAGTATGAGGACATTTGTGTTCCTCAGAATCCCATCATGTCAGTTGAGCAGCAACCCTTTTCCGTGGGATACAAATGCTTCTCCCTGCTGTTTATTATAGTGCCTAGGCCCCAGTCTGATTCTGATTACTTGGTATCAGAGGTGAGGTGGCCTGGGATTGTATAGTGGGCTCACTTCAAGGGAGGAAAAGGTAGTAATTCCTGCAGCAACAGTGTGGAGAGGAGCCCTGCCACCCCTTCTCTGATTTGAAGGAGACCCCAAAGCCAGTGTAGCGGCTGCAGAAGGCGTTTTTGTGAGCTGGTAGAATAGAGGGAGACAGGCTGGAAAGTACAGTAAAATGAGTTTGCCATCAAACAGCAACAAGTCTTATGCTGTGCCCCAGGTCGGTGACCTTTCCCTCTGGAATTCTCCCCTCTGACCTCCAGATCATTAATCCTGATGCTGCCAGATGACAGTAATCCATCATTGGCCCTGACAAGGCTTGCAGCCGACTGTGAAAGGATCCGCTCTGCTCCAGCCTCCTCCTGTCCCGTGATGCTACTTGTTTTTCAGCCTTTCTGTGTTCAGAGCTGGAGGTTTCCAATAAAGACTTTATCACCTTTCCCTTCCTCTGAAAGGACTGGGGGAGGGGCTCAAAGAGCAGCCTTTCCTCACTTACTGTCTGCGTTTCGTAATCCGCTCCTGTGAAATGTGCTTTGCTCTGGCTGACAAAACCAGTGGAGAGCATCCAGAGCTTACGGGAACCCAAAACACAACCCCTGTTGCATTCCCTAGCTCATGCAAGTTAAGAGAATGTTACTCAACGTTCTCCTTTTATGGAAAGTCCCGTAGCATTTCATAGAACATGACCACTTCCCTCTATGCTGTGGTTTTAGCTTTCCTACAGAATGTAACAGAAAGGGTGTCTCTCTTGTAAAACTCTGCAGGATGGTTAAAGAAAATCCATTAAAAATCTCATTCTGTGGGTTTTTGGAGTCATTTTTTATAGACTCTTATAGAAGTTCCTATAAGGGTCCTAAGTATCAGAGGGGTAGCTGTGTTAGTCTGTATCCACAAAAAAACTGAGGAGTGCAGTGGGACCTTAAAGACTAACAGATTCATTTGGGCATAAGCTTTCGTGGGTAAAAAACCCACTTCTTCAGATGCATGGAGTGAAAATTACAGATACAGGCATAAATATATATTGGCACATGAAGAGAAGGGAGTTGGGAGTTACCTTCTCTAACTCTAACCTAACTCCCTTCTCTTCATGTGCCAATATATATTTATGCCTGTATCTGTAATTTTCACTCCATGCATCTGAAGAAGTGGGTTTTTTACCCACGAAAGCTTATGCCCAAATGAATCTGTTAGTCTTTAAGGTGCCACTGCACTCCTCGTTTTTTCTATAAGGGTCCTGTTTTTAAAAGCTATCCAGAGGAAGAGGGTATTTCCTGGTGGTTACAGCTGGGTATGGGAAGGCAGATTTGGGTTCTGTTCCTCCACTAGCTTTTTTACTCTGTGCCTCAGTTTCCCCATCTGTAAAATGGGGATAATATTTTCACAATCCCTCTGTGAGGTAGGTGAATGAATTCATTAATATATGTAAAGTACTTTGAGATCATGGGTTGAGAGGAGCTAGAGAGGGTGAAAAATTGTGATTTTGGCTAAAGCTGTTTCAAAAAAAAATCTGTAATATCTCAGTATTTCCCCTTGCCAACCCCTTGTTTTCCTGAGGAACCTTATTAATGGCCCTTTCTTTCATGTTCCAGCTGTCCCATCTGGCCACTGTCCAAGCATAGCTGGATGAAAGTCCCTTATGAGCGAGCTAATACTATTCTCTAAATTGGATTGGGGAAGAGTGGATGGTTTTGAGCAACACAAGATGGTCTCGGGGGAGGAGGAAAGAAGTGGGAGGAGTGCTCCAGTTGTGCCCTCCCCTGTCATTGTTGACCAAAGAACTGGGCTCTGATATGGACCGTAGCATCATCAGTGCAACTTTTGTAATTATCTACTTTGTTGGAACACTCTGGCATCCATTGAAAGTGGCCACCTTGTCAGAAATATCCAGCAGTAAAGGGGTTAAAAACAAACTCTCTTCCTATTTGTGGGGTGGGATGAAAGAGGGTTAAATAAGACTTTTATTCACACACCCTGCCCTGCAGAGAAGTTGAAAGTTCCGAGTTCAGTGTCTGCAAGTCCTCCAAGGAAAATAAGCGAACAAGTCATTGACATAAGCCACCAGCTCTATTAAACGAGGGCTGTGGCGAGAAGGTGGAGCACATGCTCTTGCCAGACTGTTCCTACAGAGTTTTCTATACGGAAATGCTGACTCTGTCTGCGCGGAACCTTTAACCATGCTAAGTGAACTTCTTTACAAATCTTAACACAGTTCAAGCTGACTTAGGCCTTGTCTACACTAGAAAATTGTACCGCTTTACTCATCCTGTTATAGTTAAAGTGGTATAACCCCTCTATGTGGACACAGTTCTAGCAGTATAAAGGTGCTTGCCGTATGGGAAGGAGAATAAGTTATCTTGGTATAGGGCATATTTATGCTGGTATATTTGCATCTACCCTAGGAGTTGTACTGGTGGAACTATACTAGTAAAAAAAATAAATCACACCCTAACCAACACATTTATACTGTCATAATTTTCAAGTGTAGACCAGCCCTTGGTTTAAACTCTGACTGGCTAATTAGGGTGAATGGGGACCAAACACATTTACATTGTTTGGGAATGATTACAGTCTTGGTCCTGGAGGGAACTATAGGATGCAAAATGAAAACGGCAGATGAGATACCACTGATAGATAACAGGCTGGCATTACTGCTTTACAGGTGCTTCCCCTGTGGCAAGAAGACAACTAAACGGGGATATATGATAGATGTATACAGAATAGTTAATGGTCAGTCCAGGGTTCCAATTTACCTTCTCCCATAATACAAGAACAAGGAGACAACTCAGTACAACTGAAAGATAGCAAGTTTAAAACTAACAAAAGGATGTCTTTTATATAGCATATAATTAGCTGGTGAAACTCCGTGCCAGCAGGTATTGAGGGGAAAAGGCATAACAGGATTCTAAAAAAAGATTACACACTTGGGGCATTGGGAATGTCGGTGGAGTTTAGATGGACTCTTACACAAAGCAGAATAAAAACCATTTATAAGGGCCATAAAGTCTTTTGCTCTATGGCGTATACCATATGCCACTGTTGGGTGTTGGAAGAAATCTCCTCTGTGGACTAATTATTTCGCAATTGTCCATTACTGAGTTTCTTATTCTGTCCTGTAAAGATTTTGGTACTGACTTGTGTCCTAGACAGGACAGTGAAATTAGATGGATCATTGCTTTGATCCAGTATGGCATTTTCTATGTAATGAAATATTTGCCATGCCTACATTTTTCTTTCTTGTTAGCTAGATTTCATTAGTTTCAACTTTGAAATCGCAGCTTCTTGCTTTTAAGTTCTGGGAAAGGGGCACTGGCTGGTTAAAAATCAGATTTTCATACCTGTGTTAACCTGTGAGTTTACTAAAACTGAACAGAAGTTTGTCCCACAGCACGCTGCAAAAGGAAGCCTAGAGTCTGAAATCTAATGTACATTTCACTCTCTATGCTGATTGTTTACTCAGTTTGGACAATGAAAATGGATGTTAGTTTCACTTTCTGGCTCTCAGGCACTAGTTTCTTGCTACTGTATTCGGATTGCAAATGCAGCAAGGGAAGGTCTGCAACGTTTTCCAGAAAACCCACTTAAATTGAATTTTTTAAAAGAAATCAGATTTCAGTTGATCTTCAATTTCTGTTAAACCTAATTTTAGAAAGCCTAGATGTTGACTCTAAATCAACTGGGCAACAACGTCCCTTTAAACACAAGCTGCGGGAGGGAGTCGGGGGACTTATCATTTGCAAATGTGCTCATAATGCATAAAATAGCCAAATTGTGGTTGGAGGTGAACGAGACAGAGTGCTGGAGTAAGCGTCCAAACTCCTCTCGCTCCCTAATCACCCCTCTCCCCCCAAAAAAGAGAGGGGGCAGCAGTGACATAGTAATAGAGAGTATCAGAATTCAGCTTCCCCATGCTTGTAGTGGTGGTGGTGGGGAGGCTGGAAGCAGTGTAGCGACAGCATTAGAGTGGGGGGATCATCCACTGACCCTCTCTGGCTTATGCAGGAACAGTTCTGATGGACTCTGGAGGCAGCTGTAATCTGGCTTCCCTCTGCCAGGGAGAGTGTCAGCACCAAATAAGGAATAAGAGAGAAGAGCTTAAAATGGGAGAAGGGGGTTAAGATCACTCAAGGGAGGGGAAACAGGAGTAAGACCAAAAGTACTGTACTAAGAGCGTGAGCAGAAGAAACTGCAAAAGGGGAGTGTGGCTAGGGGGAGAGTAGATCTTAGCCAAAATATCATCATTCCCTTCCACATCTGCTCTCTCATATTAAGTACAGAAAATATAAAAGAGGAAGAGAATATTCTGACAACCACTCAGAGAATCCTGATGCATAAGCAGGTCTTGTTCTTTGCTAGGAGCTGTTTTGTGGGTTCTTCAGCTCCCTCATGAGCATGAATGAAACAAATTGTTGTGTCTAGTAGTGCACTGGGAAGCTCACATAGATCAAACCTCTGTGCTGCTCCTCTGCTGTCTTTCACATCTCCGGTCCTGACTTGAAAAACCCTCTACTTCCCCTCCCCTGAGTTTGCCTATTCCACAAGTTGCTGCCTAGCTGCATGTTTTGATTTGTCTGGTAATTGCTTTTGCCTGCAGGAAAGGATTTTCCATGAACAGGACTTGGTGTGTAGCTAAGTCGCTCTCATTTTCTTGCCTACAGAGCGCATTCTGGTCAGGTTACAAACAAGATTGCCTTCATTTCTCATTAGCGGGAAGATCAATAGCTCCAACCTGCCTGACTGTTTCTTGTCCTCATTTTCTGTCTCCATGATCCCCTCCCTGCCGTCCTGTTGTGATATTGCAGGAACTCCCATCAATCGGATCCCCATCATGGCGAAGCAGATCCTGGATCTCTATATGCTCTACAAACTGGTGACTGAGAAAGGGGGGCTGGTGGAAATCATAAACAAGAAGATATGGCGGGAGATCACCAAAGGCCTTAACCTGCCCACCTCCATCACCAGTGCAGCGTTTACACTTCGGACCCAGTAAGTATAGAGCCCTCCTGCATGCAACAGTAGGAAGTGGGGAGGGGGAAAAGTAGAGAGGAGAAAGGAAGAGGGGGGATGAGGGGAAAGAAATAAGCAAATTGTCCCCTTCTATGGCAAGAATGGACCTGATTGGCTGTTTGTTTCGACCTTCCTCCACCTTGTTCCCCATAGTCTCTTCACCTCAGCTTCGCGCCACACCATCGCCTCTTACCTTCTTTCCCCCTGCTCTGCCCCCTCACCTCCTTTCTCTTCAGTGATCCCTCTCTCTTCAATTGTCTTTCTCTTTAGCTGATCCCCTCCAAACTAAATCAGCCTCCACCCCTCCAAAAGTAATAATCATGGAACGACCATGCCATTTGTTGCAATCACATGGTTACCCCTTCCCCCACCCTGTGTCTGGTCTGGTAGATTGTAAGCTTTGGGGCACGGAGCATCTGCTGCTTTATGTTTGTGCAGTGCCTAGCATGATGAGGGCCCATTTATGGTTGGCCTAAGATACTAGTGTAGTAAACATTATAAATAATAATAATCAAATAGTCTTCTGAGTTTCCACTTGTGTTTTAGCACCTAGATACTGTGGTAATTGCTCCCAGCCCCATAAATACTTAATATAGATTAGATAGGATAGCACTAAACCTAGGGAGAGAGGAATAGAACTGGCAACATGGAGGCAGGCAAAGGTGGCTCCTAACATTTTTGTTCAGGCTAAGAGGCAGTGTGGTTCAGTGACTTGAGCAGGGCACTGGGAATCAGGACTCGGGGATTCCCAGCTCTGTCCCGAATTCATTATGTGACCTCTCCATCCCTCAGTTTCTCATTCTGTAAAATGGAGATACTCACAAATTTCACTGATGTTCCTAAAGTGCTTTGAGAGCCTTGGAAAAGGCTCTATAGAAGGGTAAAAAACAATTCCCCATCTGTAAAATGAAAATGATGATACTGGCCTCCTTTGGAGTGTGCTTTGACATCTACTCATGAAAAGTGCTGGATAAGAGCTGTGTGCTGGTCTTATCACTGGAGCAGGAGAGTAGTAAAGTCTTTTCATTCTAAACTGCTTCTCCATAGCTTGGCAGTTCTTGGAACGTGCCTTTTCACTACACTTTTCCAGACGTGGCCTCTTCCCAAAGTGATTTTTTTTTTTTTTAAAAAAGCTTGGACAAACCATGTTCGGCCTCTTTTGAATACAAGGAGAGTTTGGGAGTTTTATTACGTTTTTTCAAACAGTCAAAACAGCTGGGTATAGAAAGTTGAAATGTGGCATGGAAACAGCTCTCAGTGAGGATAAGTACTTGTGAGTGTTCAGTCAAATTTAGTTGTGCCCAGGTTTAAAAATCGCATGCCTAGTACAGTTAATATGGGATTTTTCACCATGTTCTTAAAGCACACAGAGAAAGAAGGTGCTGCTGGACCCTGTGCAACTAATTTAGGAACATAGTGAAAAATATACTGAAGGTGTAGATTCATAGATTCCAAGGCCAGAAGGGATCACTGTAATCATCTGGTCTAACCCCCTGTATAACACAGGCCAGAGAACTGCCCCAAATAATTCCTAGAGCTGAGGTTTTAGGTCATGATTTAAAAATTGTCAGTGATGGAGAATCCACCACAGCCTTTGGTAAGTTGTTCCAGTGGTTAATGACTCTCATTGCTAAAAAAGAACACCTTATTTCTATCCTGAATTTGTTCAGCTTCATCTCCCAGCCATTAGATTGTGTTCTGCTAGACTGAAGAGCCTGCTGATAAATATTTGTTCCCCATGTAGATATTTAGAGACTGTAGTCAAATCATCCCTTAAATCTATAACTAGGTCTGTGACTAAATATATTGGCTTCTGGCAAGGGCTGCATGGGAGCTTTGGCCCCTATCCTTCTGAACCTTGAAGGTGCAAAAGGGCTAGGGACCCCTAATGTGCACTAGATCAGTTGCCTAGGTGGGAGCCCTCCTCTGATGCACCTTGGGAGCTTGGCAATTGTTTGGGCTCAGAGAAAGGAGAATTTCTCCAGTGACCCTCCCTACGGCCATTCAGGAAAGCATCTCCCTCCTCAGTTGCTTGGGCCAAGGGGGCACCAGTAATCTAGTCACATAAGTTCAGATAAGGGAATTCACGTTGCTTATGTCAATTTTCTTCCAATCAGAAGAGCTTTGCTGCTGCTGTCTCAGAGAGTGAGGTGCCTGCTCTATTTTATTTTTCTTTTCTATGTAATTTACTTAGAACAAACCCCTAAAACCCACCAAAGAAATTCCAGGAGAGGGGGGCAAAACCAAGAGACGATTATGGTTGTACAGCTTATCACTCGAGTCAAGCAATTTGAAAGTTAGAATTGATCCCTTAACTGTTCCCTTTGTGCATAAGCATTCAAATTATGATCTTTAATTGTATGACCATGCAAAATTTCTTAAAGACAATATTATGTCACACACTTTCTTTCAACTTCCTTAGAGTTACATATGTAGCATCATGTAGTAGGGTGCTGTCCTCTGCAAAGGCTGGACTATGAGTCCATGAAAGTCATCTGTTTGAAAATGACACCTGACACCCAAACTATACAGCTGGTGGCAGACTAAGCATAAGACCGCAAAGCAAAAATGAATAGTGGTTGGCAGAGTTAGGTCTTCAAAGGGCCCAGTCCTGCAAGCACTCCTGAGCAATGCTTAGTACCATGAGAATTCCCATAATCTACTTTTTTCAGGTGCTGCTGAGTACACTTGCTTTGATCTCCCCTCTCCATGTGTTTCTCTCAGGTATATGAAGTACTTATATGCCTACGAATGTGAGAAGAAGTCCCTTAGCTCTCCTGCTGAGCTGCAGGCTGCGATCGATGGCAACAGGCGGGAAGGCAGACGGCCCAGCTACAGCTCCTCCTTGTTCAGTTATTCACCCACCACCACAGGGCCTCCTTCCCTCCTGTCTCCTCCAAAGATCCGCTTCCCGATCATCGGCCTGACCCCAGGCAGTGGAACCAGCAACTCCCGTCTCTCTCCAGCGGCAGCTCTCAGGAAAGGTCTGCTATTGACCTCTGTGCAGGACAGAGAATGTCTGTGGGGGGAGTAGGCAGTGGGTGAAATTCAATTTCAATGTCTGGCCAAACTTGGGTAAAAGAAAGTTTGGGGACAGTGAGAGGACTTGGATGGCTCAGGGATACAGAGCCATCAAGCTCCAGGTTAACCAGTTTACGTATGCGCTGGGTCAGTAGCGGCAGCATTGTCATTGATACTGACTAATCACCCAGGACTGCAGAGCAGGATGAGAGAGGGAAGGATAGAGGAATGAGGACAGGACTGGGATCAACCAGGAGTTACTGGGGCTCTAGACCCAGCTCCAGGTCTGACTTCCTCTGCTGCCTTAGGCAAGTCACTTAACCTGTCTGCATCCCTAGTTCCCCATCTGTAAAATGGTGGGTAATTCCCGGCAATGTGGTGGAGATTAATTAGCTAATCTTTGTTAGTTGTGTGAAGGTCAAAACTGTGATGGAAGTGCTAAATCCTGTTAGGAAGTGTGAGTGATGCTATTAGAGGTTGTGAAAATAAGCAGCCACCCCATCTTGGGGGCAGATTGGAAATATTCTGGTAAATTTCAGAGGAAAAAAGAAAGGGCAGGGGGTGTCTCATCTGCTCACTTTAGTGCAAGTCTCCGAAGGAGTTTCAGAAGCCCAGATCCTCAAAGGATTCAGGCTCCTGATGTTCATTGGTTTCAGTGGCTATTAGGAGCCTAAATACCTTTGAGGATCTAGGCCAGGCAGACTACACCAAAATGGAGTTAAGATTACTCCAGCAAAGAGAGCAAGGAAGGTAATTCTGTTTGAGGAGTAGCAGTTCCATTTGGGAATGATGGCGGGATTTCTGTGCCCTGGAAGCGTGAGCTGATGTTGGTAGAAACAGTCCCGTACAGTGGGAACAGGCCACAGGCTGCCATGAAATGGACTAGTAGTGTTTGGTTCCTCAGAGCAGCATTGTTGTCCCATTGTCCCCCTTCCACACTGGGCTTCAAAAGCTAAATGCTTGCACTGGGAAACTCTGTGCGGAGCTTGAGTGACTGATTGCTTTTCTAGGCGATGGCATCCCTCTGACTGTGTCCATGCCAAATCGCATTGCCATGCCAGTGACCTTGGCTAACCAGCAGGCAACTGTAGCAGCAAGGACGGCCACTTTGGAACAGCTGCGGGAAAGGCTGGAGGCTGGAGAGCCGCCGGAGAAGAAACTCTCACGGATGACAGAGGAGGAGCAGCGGCTTGTCCAGCAGGCACTTCAGCGCAACCTGTTCAGTGTGGCACGGCAGATCCCCATGAAGATCAAAATCAATGGCAGGGGTGAGGAGGCTCCCATGCTAAATGAGGGGGGATTTGTGTGCTGGAGTGAGCACCCCAAAGAGAGGAAGTCTTTCTTTAAACCCTGGGTATGTGGGCTTCACCTCAGTGCAGGACTTTAGGCAGTGGCACCCTTGCACTTATGCAACCTATCCCACTCTTTTGGGTGCGCCCACCCAGCCCATCAGCCAGAGTACCTTACCCTGGTCTGTTCTGATTCTAGTGCCAATGTGCTGCCGCAGGGCATGAATTCCCAAACTTCCCTTTGCTGCGCCTGTCTTGGAGACTAAGGTGTGGCACCACCTCTTAGCTTCCCTGTCACTAAAGGCGGCAGCTTTTCATATACAGATTTCAGAAGGCAGCTAGGATGTCATGGGTATACAGTGTGTAGGAAGCCCAGGTCATAGGTGGGGAGTAAGCTGGATGGGGATCTGCATTTGTTGCTTGAGGGCCCTACTTATTATCCAGAGCTGAGTCTGGGCTTTTTTAAAGGGTCACGTGACATCTCAGATAAGGTTGGGGCTAGCGATAGTATTGCCAGTAACTGCTTCCAAGGAGAGAGGACCCTGCTTCTCCTTAGTATAGATTAATATGCCACTGCCCTGCTCCCAGCCTCCAGGGAAAAGCCCCTGGCATTCTGTTGGGAGGTGACTGCCCCAAATCATAGCCTCCAGGCCCCTGCAGGCTGAGTTAGAGGTTTGAGAGTAAGCCGCACTCATGGCCAGGGGAAACTACCACTGAAAGTACTGGGTAAGTGGAGATTCCATCCTTAAAGGTCACTTGTCAGAATCAATGTAATTTTAATGTGACTTCCAAAGCTGATTAAACAGCACAGCACTTCCACCTATCTGCCCTGGGGGCTGCAGTTAGATGGAGAGTGAAGCCAGCAGTGTCTCAGAAGATTTCAGTCCAACAGCTGTTTTCTCTTCTTCAAACGTTTTGATCCATTTAAATTAAAGAGCTCAAGCTCCATCTAATTGCACCTTCTGAGGCAGACACTAGGCCACAAAGGGTTGACGTTGAGTGGGGGAAGGGAAAGGGTTGTTCTGCTGGCCATTGCACTTTATTCAACAGGAGCAGTGCTGCAGTGTGAAGCTCTGGTTGAGAGAAATACATGTGGCATGAGGTCAGACAGATCTTGGCCCTACTGAAGCTGATGGAAGCGTTGTCACTAGCTTCAGTTGGACCAAGATTTTGCTTCCCTAAGACTATGGACCTACTTAAATTTCACACTTAAACTTCCTTAAAAAGGAATAGTGTGTGAGAGGAAGGGCAAACTTTGTGGTATGCCTTAAATCCTCTCCACCTTGCTAATGTCCTTCCCTTATCTCTCCTCGCACTGCTTCTGGCATTAAGATGCAGTTGTAGCCTCTACACCTAAAAACACGCTGATGGAGGCAATGTGGCCTAGTAGATAGACCGCTGGACTGGATTCAAGGGAGACGGTTTCTATTTCTGGCTCTGCCAGAATGACCTTGGGCAAATTCACTTTTTCTTTCTTTGTCTCAGTTTCCCCATCTGTAAAATGGAAATAATTGTACTGACCTCCTTTGTAAAGTGATTTGAAATCTACTGACAAAAAACATTATAGAAAAGCTAGGGATTGTTCCTATTATCTTAAGAACCACTCTTGGGTTAAATACTAGTTATGTCAATAGCAGTCCTTGCTGAGACAGCAGCCATGATATCCCAGAAGGAATGCAACATCAGATGGGAACTGGAAAAACGTGTAAGATTTACACAGAAGATTTTAGTCTGAGGTGTCACCCTTGTGCATTTCCACAGGAAAAGCTCTTCTGTCCTTACTTGGCATTTGCACACTAACACAAAACCAGCACCTCATTGTGAGAGGTCATTGCGATGTGATGCTGCTGCTTCACAAACTCTGAGCAGGATTTTAGGGCCAGGGGATGTCCCACAAAGCCGGGTGATGGGGGAACAATCCCATGTCTTTTTCCACAGATATCACAGAATTGTAATGTATCTAGTTTCTAGTGCAGCAGCTTAAAAAGGGGTCCCCAGGTATGTTCATCAAGGGAGGACAAGGTGTGACCTGTTCTAAAGGTGACCAACGTCTCTTTCTGTCTCTTATTCCTCTCCTGAGTCTGGTATTTCAGAAGATTTTGCTCCCTCAGCTGGCAGGCAGCGGTACTACAGCCTAGCCATTGCTAACTGAGGGTATGTCTACATTGCAATAAAACACTGGCACACACCTGCAGCTGGCCTGTGGCAGCTGACTCAGGCTTGAGCTGCGGTGCTGTACAACTGCAGTGTAGATATTCAGGCTCAGACGAGAGCCGAGAGAGCAGTGGAGGTTTCAGAATGAAGCTGAATAAAGCTACATGCTACCTATGTATCAAATAATCAGTGGGTTTCTAACCAGTTACCTCTGAAGGGCCAGGGTTGGGATCTGGCAGTGGTCACAAATGAAACAAGTTTAGTATTGTCAAACGTCAGACAGCTCTTCACATTTACAAAAGCCTTTTTCTCCATTCAGCACCCTATGACTCGCTACTCTGGGCGTGAGGGGGTGTACTGACAGAGCTGTATGGGGAAACCTTACGTAACACTTTCCTGCATTCTGCTTTTCTTGAAATCCTGTCATTTAATAGAAGCTGATTGTAAGCAGTCCAGTGTACTTCACGGCCGGCAGGCGGGAGCGATGTGCTTCCAAATTTCAGAGTCCTTCCCCCCACAAAGCAGGCCACCGGTTCATGAGTCGGCCTTGTGGGACTGGGGGGCAGGGAGGGCTTGGTTCAGTTTTCACTGCAGAGGGGAGGTGAAAGAAGGACCCTCTAAGCACTAGATTGTCCCTGGGTAGTGCAGTGGAGACCCAGCGCAACCTAACTCACAACTCTCCTTTCCCCAACAGAAGATAAACCAGATGCCGCGGCGGCGGCGGCGGCATTGCATTTGTCACCCAGCGGCATTGGGAGTATTAACATGTCTGTGGAGATTAACGGCACAATCTATGCTGGTGAGAAAGCAACAGCTGCCCAGAGCAGTGGTGCAGCAGGGGAAAGCAGCTCTTGTTTGAATGCAGGATACTTTTAATGGATATAAATTTGCCAAACACAAAACCCAAAACTTTCGTTGCTTTGAGAGAGCCTTGAGTTGACACAGGAGCTGCTTTTCCACAGTCCTCTGCACCGCTCTGTCAAGATGGCCCCTTCTTATGTTTTTTTTAATATATTCGAGATCCTTCTAAATGCTACTGCTTGGCGATTCCGCCTTTGTGTGTGCTGTTTATAGATATTCTGATCACTTTGCCCAGTTTTCGGATTTGATCTCTGTGTACACTGGTCCTCTGCCTGAGGGTACATCTGCACTTCAGTCAGGAGATGTGATTGCAGCCCGTGTAGACATACCTGAGCTAGATTGGGTCTAGCGAGGCCAAAGCGAGCTTGAGTAATGATATCCGTGAAGCCATGGCAGCTGAGGCTGTGGCTGCTCAAGTGCATACGCAGGGTTCTGGGTGGGTGGGGTTTGCCCATGCAGCCACGCTTTCACTATATTGTTGTTCGAGCTAGCTAGATCAAAGCTAGTTCAGGTCTGTCTACGTGTGCTGCAACCGCATCTCCTGATTGCAGGTTAGACACACCCATAGAGTGAAGTAGTTTTGATTGCAGAGCTTCTGTACAAGCAGCATTTCACTGTAATGCGAGAAAGAACTATCTGGCAAGACATCCCTCCCTACCTTCACCCTGAGTGTGGTACCAGGGCTGCCTTTCGTCCCTTGCTGCTATAGGAGATACCGCCAGCCCTGAGTGAAGGGGAACTTTTGGAATCTCTCTCTCCTCGTGCTGAGAAGCAGCTTTAACCAGACTAGCTTCTCTTCACCCCCTTCTGAGGAGTGTCAATTTCTCTTTACATTCCTCACTCCTGCTCAGTTGGGTGGTGATCCCCTCTGAAGGCCACATTTAACACTTCTCTAGGTGGGTGCAGAGTGCTGCATTCCCAGTGGCGTAGCTCAGTGGAACTCAGTTCTAGCGGAGCGAAAGTGTATTGAAAACGGCATCGAAGCTGTTGGGGATTTTCAAGCAAAGCGTCACTCTGTCAGCCTTTGTTCTAAGCAAGTTCTGCTGTATTCGTTCCAGTTGCACTGTTGCTGCAGCTTCCTGAACCTGCTTGATTGGATTGGGCTAACTCTCGCTGATAGAATTCCCTGAGCCCTGTTCTAAAATCTCTGGGGTTGGTAGACTCTTCTCCTCTCCAGCCACGTACATAGGTGTGGGCTAGCCAGTTGCTTCTCCTTAAGCACTATGTTGTTCTGGTGTCCCAGTAACCCGGTTCCAAATCCGTCTCTGTCCTGCAGGAGTTCTGTTTGCCCAGAAGCCCGTCGTCCATCTAATTGCAGGATCCAGCACTCAAAGCACCTGCAGTAGCAGCAGCAGCTCCCACTGCTCTCCTAGCCCAACCTCGTCCAGGGGCACCCCCAGCGCAGAGCCCTCAACCAGCTGGTCTCTCTGATGGATGGGGGAGCGGGCTGTCTCTCTCATTAGCCTCAGGCAGCTTTGCCCTCTCCGTTCAAGGCAGAGAGCGAGCCAGGAAGGAGTCGCACAGATTACCTCATCTCAAGGAACCTGCTCTGCGGTTGGTCAATGGCCAGACGATGAAACCTTCTGTGCTGGCGAGTTTGCATTGCCTGTTTGTCCAGCTTTTTTGATTATTTTTTCAGGTTTGACTGTGTTCCTGCTGGGGGGTTGGGGCGAAGGGAAGGGGGCATGCGGCATTTTTCCATCAGGGATTGTCTCTAGGGGCTGTGGGTTTGCAGATGACTGAGACATCATCATGGCAGGCGGAAGGAGCAAGGAGGTAGTAGTTGGGGTGAGGGAAGGGTTCCTGTTCTCTAATCAACAGCTGCGTGGACTTCCCTAATATAACATAGTGTATTGACAATCCTACACCCAGAGCAACTTTGGTCTCTTTTCACCTTGTATTTGTTCCCTCTTGCGGTCGCTTGCAGAGGAGTTGTGCAGGTTGATAGCGAGCAAGTCTCATCTAGTCGTCCATTCTGTCTCCACTGTGTTCAGCCTCCTGATGCTGTCTCCTGTGTGTTAGACTAGGCTGAAGGGCAAATGGTCACTAATGCTGGATTCACAGGAGACTTGCATGACTTCTTCCTCCTTTGGCATCTACCTCTCTAGGGTCCTGGCAGCACATGGAGGACTCTCCCACCTCTGTATCTGATACACCGAGATGGATACGGTCTTTAGTCCAGCTAGTCATCTCCCATGGCCAGTGCAAACCTGGACCCTACTGTTTTTTCCAGGCCTTTGCCCCGCCTAGTTTTAAATGCCCCACCAATGGCCCTTGCACTGCTTCCCTTGCGGGAGCATTGGACAGGCTAAATAAACTCACCACTGCAGCCTTTATCTTGATAGTCATCCTGACTTTTCTGTTGCTTGATGTCATCCCTTTGCTCCTAGTTCTAGCCCCTTGGCCCTTGATAGAACTGGGTTTGCACCAAATGGTGATTTCGTGCAGCGCTTCCTCTCCTGTGTGTTTCATTAGCCTCTCCATCCTGTCCCCACACAGACACATCAGCTGCGGGCCACTGTCACCCAAAGGAGATACGAGGTGATGCTGGCAATCTGCTGAGCTGTGTGTTTGTGTCTATTCATGTACTACACACTTTTTTCAGTTGGGCTCTTGCCAGGTATCTTGCAGCATACTCCAAATCACAGCCATCATTCACAAGGCTCACCTGGGCTAAAGGGACAGAAGAGCTGGACCTGGGACAGCTCCACATGGGTGCATCCCAGTTGAATGAGGACATGGGCCTCTGGTTGCGGAGAGAGGGAGGAAAATCTCCACCCATTCCCAGTAAATTCCCGATGTGGGGAGCTAGGGCTGCTTTAGTCCATCATTCCTCCTTTGTCAGCCAAGTTAGTTCCTTGGCTCACTTCCATTGACCCAGCTCCTTGCTGTTGCACTCCCCGCACGCAGGCACCCATGCTGTCCTCTCCCCTCCCGCAGCACATAGGACAGGTTCTTCCCTGCCCTGGTGACGTTCTCACAGTCTGTGGATCTGAGCCTTCCCGCCCCCGCCCTGGTGATGTCTCTTCCATCATGCAGGCCTGAGTCAGGTTCTTTTGAGCAGATGAAATACCTCAGATATGGACTTGTTATTGTGTTACCTCTTCAGGAAGTATTGGCATATCTTAAAGCTTGTTTTTATATGTGTTTTGCTGACTTTGTTTTTAATTTTTATTTTTTATTGTAGCACCAAAGACAACAAAGCTGAGTGAAGGAGCAGGTGGCTTCCCTGTCCTTAGCATAGCCTGGAGACAGTTCCAGCAGCATTGACCCAGGAGCTGGGCATGCGGACAGGGCAATAGAGGAGGACAGATGCAGGTAGAGAAGGAAAAGAGGGCAGTTTTATTTCTCAGGCTGGCTTGAGTTTCAGGATTTCCCCTCAGAGTGAACCGGTGGGGTGTCCCCAGTGTGGTTCAAGTGGTCCCAATGTGTGTTACAGAACTCTGTGATCTAGTACTGGGCTTATTTTTAGCAAGTTTTAGTAGAACAGCTTTGAAGATAACAATCCTGTCTACACTATAGATTTTGCTAGGCCTCCTGATGTGTTAAAGTACAGTTCACTCTTCCAGTGTGGGCAGGACCAAACACCTGAATTGTGCTGCAGCTTTGGATTTTACCAGTAGGATTCGGTCACACAGATAAAAATACACCTGAGTCCTGTTTATGCGATGAGACCAAACCATGTTGTGTGCTACCGTATTGTACCCAAATGGTGCATTGTGGTAGCTTTTCATGGAGCAGACAGGACCTAAATACTGGAATGTGTTCTAGGTTCTGCTTTCACTTACGTTGTAAAGGCCTGTGTTACCAAACTCTGCAACCATCCCCATATTTAGGGGGTTGAAATACAATTTGGTAACATAAGTCTAATCGACATTGTAACTCTCTTCACAGGCAAGATGATCAGCTGGCTTGAAATTAGTTTGTTATAGCATGGTCTGTTGGGCTGTCATGTTACCCACTGAAACACGCAGCGTGCAGTGCCCTTTCAGATCTGTCTGTACTTGGAGCAAAGCCGTGCTAGCTCCCACCATGTGTGTGAAAGGTTATTGCTCGCAGGGTTCTAGCACGGTTTCTTTGGGCAGTGGTTTTTCAGAGAGTCCTGCTGCAGACTGATCCCCCTCAGCAATCTATTGGACAGTTTTCAATCATAGTTCTAAGGCAACAGTCCCTGTTAGCAACAGCCACGCATTACATGGTCATAACTAGCCCAGTTCTGCTCTCGGTGTCTAAAGAATCTAAGGTTTCAGAGTAACAGCCGTGTTAGTCTGTATTCGCAAAAAGAAAAGGAGTACTTGTGGCACCTTAGAGACTAACCAATTTATTTGAGCATGAGCTTTCGTGAGCTACAGCTCACTTCATCACTTCATCATCTGATGAAGTGAGCTGTAGCTCACGAAAGCTCATGCTCAAATAAATTGGTTAGTCTCTAAGGTGCCACAAGTACTCCTTTTCTTTTAAAGAATCTAAGGGGTTCTCTGCTCTACACAGGCAAGCAGTCAGTGTTGGAGGATGGCCTAACAGTCACCTAGCCATGTTATCACTCAATTGGCTCTTGCCTGTGTAGATGGGACAGAACCATCTTATCAGATTGGTATTACAGCCCTCTGAAGGCAAGGGGCCTGATTCTCCTCTTACTTATCTGGATGTAAATTATGAGTTAACTCAATTGAAGCCAGTATAAAATTAGTTTGAGATAAGAATTCAACACAGGGGCAGCCGAACAGCTTAGTGACATTGTTAGAACACCCAACACCTCGAGGCAAGATCAAACTGCATTAAGAGGTTTGATGGACTGTAATACTAGGATAACTTACCTCAAGTCAGCTTGCCTGCACAGCTGGAAATTAAGCCATTGCACATTTTCCCCTCTCTCCAGCCCATAAGTGTCACAGATGCCTCCCCGTAGTCCGAAAGTGCATTTAAGTAAGAGCTTATAAACTGATCCGAGGTTCTCTGTACTGAAATTGTAAGGTACCACTTTGGGAGCCAGTCTCGGGTCAGGCTGCTGGAGCAAGCTCCGAACTGTGAACAAAGCACCTTCTAACATCAACAGGATTTAACCTCAGTGTGGGGGATGCACACTGGGCCTGAGCCAAAGCCCACTGAAGCTAATCCCTCCAGGGGGAGGGATAGCTCAGTGGTTGGAGCATTGGCCTGCTAAACCCAGGATTGTGAGTTCAGTCCTTGAGGGGGCCATTTAGGGATCGGGGGCAAAAATTGGGGATTGGTCCTGCTTTGAGCAGGGGGTTGGACTAGATGACCTCCTGAGGTCCCTTCCAACCCTGATATTCTATGATTAATAGGGAGTTTTTCCACTGACCTCAGTAGACTTTGGATCAGGCCCATTATAAAAAACTGGAGGTAACTTTATAACAAATTGTTTAAAAGAGTATTTTCCCAATGATAGGTGGCTACTCAATAAATAACCCCAGTGTAACAATCACTGCGGATGGCTCCAAGAGGAAGGGTGTCCTAACTGGCTGGTGAAATGGTAATTTCTCTCCTGGTGAAATATTCCAGGAGAACCATGATGCTCCATCTTTATATCTACTGTGTAACGTATCACAGCTTCAGACAGGGAGCCCTGTCCCCCAGAAGCAGCAGCAGCAGTGCCTTTGTGGGCACCGGCACGTCCCCTTAGTCCCAGAATTCTCTGCTTCTTTGTGATATGATCCATTACCACTCATGGAAAGAGCATGTACAATAGAACAGGTGACCAGACACTGAACAGTAAAGGCCAGGCTGGAGACTTAGAAGCCCAAGGGCCAGGTCTGATTTGCATATACAGATTTAATGAATGTGCTTTGAATAATTTCAATTTAAAACTAAGTACACCCATCCCTCACAGTCAGTCAGGCTTGATGGTGAATAAGAATCACTTGCTGGTTGAGTTCATCAGCAATAAAACCCTGCAATGGACAAGCTTTTTCCCCAACTTGATGCTCCAGTGAGAGTGGATCTGAGCCTGTGGTGGCATTTTAGGCCTCAGGAGGTACCTGCTGTAGGACGCTCCCCTGCCCGTGTGTATTAGTTTATATTATACGGCTTAGCTGGTCTCATTAGCAGACACGGTGACTTCTTTTTAACAGGCAGTCAAATTATTTATAATGCACCTGTCCTGAGGCAGGTTCTGCCTTGGGGCGTCCTCTCTCCTATTGCCTTCAGTGGAAGCTGTATGCACCCACGCATTTGTGGGGACCAGACTTTGGCCCTGATGCATTTGTGAATCTTGCAGACCTCCAGGGCATTTCATTGTCTCAAACTCTGAGATTTTTTTCCAGAGTCGGGGGATCTTTATAATTGTCCTGTTTCTTTTTTGGGGGTGGGGGTGGGGATTATTTCCCAAGGATAGGGCTAGGGAATACCTACTTTTCCTTATGCTTTATTCTCTTGTCCTGGGGAGCAGAGGTTAATATTGGGTGTTTTGCTTGCGTATCACGTGCTACCATTGTGTTTTCTTGCACAGAAAGCTGCTCGAATCACTGAACCGATAAACTGCTTTGACACTACTAGAGTATTAATGTTTATAAGCTTTACACAGCTAGTCTGGAAATAGACAGGAACTAACAGATTGTTTTTTATCAAATTCAGGGAAAGAATAAAGTTGGGACGTGTAACAGATACCTCAGTAAAATAAGCTGCAACAATAAACTATTCTCTCATTAGCTGGCTACAAGGATCAGCCATTCAGACTGTGAATACTAACCCTTTCCCTAGCCTGAGCTTGATACTAGCACTTGGCTTGATGCACATTTTGCTTAGATCCAGATATTCCTGCTGAGCTGCCAGGTTTTAGGGACAGAGCTATAGAAACCAGCAGCAGATACAGGGTGGAGGGCTGGGAGTGGGGGCGTGTCTCCTCAGCTCCAATCCATTTAACTCAGAATGTTGAAGATTGTATGGCACTCAGGGGTTTTGATATTGCAGGAAGGACTGTTCCTGGTGTGAAGTGTTCCGTTTTGCAGTGTGTCTAATCACCTTGAAACTCCAGAGCAATTAGGGTTTCGCAACAAGCAGCTAAAAGGGGCCATCTGGAGGCAAAGGTGCAGTGGGCCAGCAGCAGCAGCCTAGCGCTCTGTTTTCAGAATGAAGTGGGTGCAGACGTGCTGTCTGGTTTCCAAACCAGGTCCACACAGAGAGCCACCTCCTGTCCTCTTACATTCAATACCAGTGTTTTCTGGTAGTACATGAAGATGGAAAGGATGGAGTCCAGCTCAGAAACAAGCCTCAAACTGCACAGGCGGAGCTGTTCGCAATCAGCTCCTGGAACAAATGTGAATGTGTCACATAGTCCTTTGGTTGCTGCGTATGATCTCCAAATGGATTCAAACCAGAAGACATTTTAACTGAACAGCAGCAGCCTTGCTACTAGTTTTGTTACCTATTTAAAAAAAATGTGATAGCCTAGGCAGTGGATAAATACCTCAGACGTCTGCTTCCAACAAGTGTCTGTATATGTTGTTGTTGGGTTTTTCTATCTTACATGTTATCTGAATGTTTATATTCCAATAAACTTCTACCTCTTCATATGATGACCCTGCAAATATGTTTTGTTCCATTGACTGGGCTGGGAATCAAACTTGCCACTCCAGGTTTCTGGACTCAAGCTGACTTTTTAAACACAAATGGAAGATGCAGTAGTTTTATGAGCCACTATGCCTATGACCTTGCAGCTAACAGCCTCCCATTACAGATCTGTGCATGGTAAGGGGCCAGATACCAGTAACAGTTTGTACTTCTATAATGCCTTTCATCAGAGGATCTCCAAGCACTTGGCAGACATTAAGCGTCGGAGCCTTGAGCCAAATGAGTATTATCTGCATTTTACAGATGGCTAAATGAATATGCACAGACAAGGTGACATGCCATAAGCCACACATACATCAGTGTAAAGCCAGGAATAGAACTTGAGTCCTGCCACTCGATTCCCAGCTCTGATCAGTAGGCGCACCCCATCCCAGTGTGAGATGGCTCCTTCTGAGAGAGAGAAAGAAGGACATATGCACACAACCACCCACCCACCCCTAACTACCTCCAGCAATATATGCCAAAGCTGTGTATTGGGGTTCTTAGCCCTTTTCCTATCCAGTTTTAGAGAATATTAGAGAGCTAAAATGAATTTGGTATGTTTTTTAACATAAAGT